GATTTATTATATGACATAAAAAACAAATAATAATTTGTGATAACACTACAGTAGATGTGTTTGTAATTGTGCTTGATTTAGTCTTTATTTCCAGTTTTGGGGTTTTATAATCACAGTTTTTCTTCACAAAAGTAAACATCAACAAGCAAATAAACATTTTAACAAACATAGAAGAGGTGATGGCTTTAAATTTTAAAAAGCTTGTTCATCGTAAATGTCTTTAAAATATGTATTTTGACATTTTTAAACAAAATGACAATCATTTTTGAAGGGAACTGTCCCCATCAAATTTAAATTTAATTAATTTAAACCCCACATTTACCATAAAACATTAGTTCATTCAGTGTTTCTCTTGTTTAACAGATAAATTTATTTCATTTTACCTATAGAAAACTCACATTAAGTGTTTCCTTATGTAGGTAAAAATCTGTTTAACAACCTGTTAAAATACACCAGAACGCAAATCAGTGATATTATCTGTGAAATTACAAACTGAACATCTGTTGATAAATCCATAGCTTTAGGTTGCCATAGTTTTCAGTCATTTTTACAAACACATCATAAATTATCTGTTATAGATATTAGTTTGGGTGTGCCACCCCCAGTTTTTCAGTGCCCCCCACCAATGGCCCCCCTTGAAAAAAATTTCTGCAGGCGCCACTGCAAACCATGTCTTGGAGGATTACTATCCTGCCTGCTGTAGGTGTTTTTCCTGCTCTTCAGCAGGTTTTCAAGTTCTGCAGAGGGGGGGGGTCAGATCTTGATCACTATTGGCTTGAGAGGGGCATCATCTGTGAGCGAGCAGAGGTAAAGTTGAGAGGAGGGAGGGAGTCGGCCACAAGCAGGAAGAGAGTTGAGCAAGCAGGGAGGGAGCCACGTGAGTGTGTGTTTGATTTGAACTCACACGGTTCAAATTATTGTTCATATTGATATCTGCTCTCAAATCTGTTACTGCTCAAGCTGATGGCACAAATGTAACACCACAGTTCTACAGATGAGATGAGGCTGAGCAGCATGCATGAATTGAACCTTTTTTTTTTTACCTGAAAGGAGCTCGAAACATTTTCAAGTTATAACTAAATTTTATGCATAATAATGAGATTTTTGTTATCATTCCAAATAAGTACACAAGGAACAAAGAATGCTGAGGTCTCAGTTGTTAGCACTAAAAAAATGACACAATATGCAATAAGTTTAAAAGAAAAACACAGTAAAAAGTTGGTAGAGCTGATGCCTTTCAGTAAGAAGGTCGCCGGTTCAAGTCCCGGCCCGGGGACCTTTCTGGGTAGAGGTTGCATGCTCTCTCCGTGCATGCGTGGGTTCTCTCCGGGTACTCCGGCTTCTTCCCACCAGGGCTGCCACAATTAATCGATTAATCGACAACTAATCGATTATTAAAATAATCAATGACTAATTTAATAATCGATTAATTGTTTTCTTTTTTCTTTTATTTTGTGTTCGTTACTTTGTTTTTCTCTCCAAACTGCTTTGACACCTTCCACTGCCACGTCTGCCTTTCCAGCGGTAGACATAAGGATTTTTTTCAAGTTGTCCAGCTGACAACCTGTTGACAAAATCTGGTTGTCCACAAAACATTTTTAAAAATTTCAGTTAAAATATAATTTAATAGGTAGGCTATATTGTTCTGTATACATATTTTACTGTATACAAATGTTCTCAGTCAGCAGGTTAACAGTTTCAGGAGCTGCTTGAGTAAAACTCCTCCTCATCCTCTTCTTTGAAATAGAGATCAAAAATCAACATCCAACAACCATAAGCTTTCTGCTTACAGGACAAACATTTTAATTTAAATAGTAGTATAACCTACTGTCTAAATGACCTTATTAAAGCTACAGTTTAGTGTTCTTAGGACTGAAGACTTTCTGGATAAAGGGCATTTAAACACCTCTTCTGTCATTTTAGTGTTTTCAACTGAGGAGCTTTGATGTATTTATTTAAAAAAAATTATAGTACAAGAGGTTCTCTGCACAGAAAAAAACAATTTATTTTTAATGTTTTTTTAAACCAAACTGACAAGTTTCTCCACTATAAATGTTGTGTAATGTAAATGCATTGAAACACCTGTGTAAGAAAAATACATGTTCAATACGACTGAAGTCAAAATAAAAACACCACTGTTAAATAAAATGATTTGTGGACGGAATAAAACCATACAACACCAGAATTCTGGAACCTGAGTGAGGTTTAATTGTCACCGGCTGACAAGGAAAACCACACTGGCTAAAAGCCAGGAAGTTCATGTTTTTATACACGATTCTTCAACGCCTGAGTTCGCCCCCTACTGACCTACGGCTGAATCACAGGCATTCATCCAATAAACTCAACCTAACGTTATCATAACGGTTCACTTATGTATTGTTTATGATTCGGACATGTAACTACTCTATATCAATTAACACATAATAGATTAATAATAGATCAAACATTATAAAAAGGAAACCCTAATAATCTAGTGTTGTGCTTCTAACATCAGTACTAATCTGTAATAACTATAAATTTCTTCACCTGGTTAAATTTAGAAGATATTATGATTAACTACAAGCACCTGAAGCTGACTCAGAGAACTCTGTGATTTCAGAGGAAAATCAAAGTCAAACGTAGACACGGTGCACACACCCCCACCCCACCTTGCGGGGCTGTGGTCCGCTTGCACACCCGACTCGCATATGATTAATACTGATTTTTTCAAAATTTTCTGATTTGTGATGCTCATTATACATGTAAATATATGAAGGGGTTGACTTGTGGACTCTGAAGTCCCGGGCCGGTGGGGGCCGCGGTGCGCGTGAAGAGGTGCTGTGGCTGCGGTCAAACTGCCTCTCAGCCCTCGCTTTAAAAACAGTCAGATCTGTCACGGTTTTGTTGTGCTCGTAAACACACAGTGTTACAGGAGAAATGC